TGGTTTTTTCCTTGAAGGCATGTAGTGTTTTAGGGTTTTTCATGTATAATGTGATATGATTATAATTGTTAGACTAAGTTTATAATGATATGTTTGTGGAAAGTATTACTGTTTTTTTACGGACAAAAACAATTTTCCAATAAATTATATATATGCTTTGAATGGATTGTTCATATTCATAAACTACAATAACTGTATGAAATGAATTATGTTTAAAAATTGTCTACTTTTGTTACCTATTTAAGTCCACAATTATAATTATTACTTTTTACCATGATACAATGTGTACAAAGATAGAAATATAATTTATTTATTTATTTTAGAACAAAATTTCTCAAACACAATTCATTTATTTATTTTAACTAGTTAACATTATTTGATTTATTAATTTAAATATAAATAATTGACACAAAAAATAATATTTTGACTCATTAATATTATTAGTTAATTTTCAATTTCATTTATTAAAAATATAATTAAATTAGTTTACAAATATATTGATGGAACGACTATATTCATACAGTAATTAAATAATTATATCAATAAACATTAGACGAATATCTTTATACATTGATTAGACAAATCTAACAGTATACATTATATAAGTTTTTTATACACAAATTAGACGAGTTTTTCCACTCACTAATTAGATGAGTATTGTAATACACATTATACAATTCTAAATATACACTCATTAGACGAGTCTAACAATACATATTATACCAGTGTGTTTGTATACTGATTAAACAAGTATAACAATACATATTAGGTGAGTTTATCAATGTATTGATTATACAAAGTCTAACAATACATCAGACGAGTCTTTTCATACACTGATTAGAAGAATATAGTAAAAACGTTATTCGAGATTGTCCATACAATAATTAAATTGAGTATAAAAAAAATATTAGACTGACTAGTCATTCATACGTTGATTAAACAAGTATAATAAAAATTATTAGCCAAGTTTGGAAACACATTGATTGGATGAGCAGAACAAAAAATATTAGATGAGATTTTCGATGTATTAATTAAACGAGTCTAATAATAAACATTAAACAGGTCATTCGTATATTTATTAGACACTCAAGAAATATACACTAAACAAATCTTTCCACACACAAATTAGACGAGTCTATTAATAAACATTAGACATGTCCATTCATTTCTATTTAGATGCATCTTGCAATACACATTCTACGAGTTTATTCGTACATTGATTAAATGAATATAACAAAAAATATTACAAAGGTCTAATAGTACATATTTGACGAGTTTATCTAATAATACATATTATACCAGTGTGTTTGTATACTGATTAAACAAGTATAACAATACATATTAGGTGAGTTTATCAATGTATTGATTATACAAAGTCTAACAATACATCAGACGAGTCTTTTCATACACTGATTAGAAGAATATAGTAAAAACGTTATTCGAGATTGTCCATACAATAATTAAATTGAGTATAAAAAAAATATTAGACTGACTAGTCATTCATACGTTGATTAAACAAGTATAATAAAAATTATTAGCCAAGTTTGGAAACACATTGATTGGATGAGCAGAACAAAAAATATTAGATGAGATTTTCGATGTATTAATTAAACGAGTCTAATAATAAACATTAAACAGGTCATTCGTATATTTATTAGACACTCAAGAAATATACACTAAACAAATCTTTCCACACACAAATTAGACGAGTCTATTAATAAACATTAGACATGTCCATTCATTTCTATTTAGATGCATCTTGCAATACACATTCTACGAGTTTGTTCGTACATTGATTAAACGAATATAACAAAAAATATTACAAAGGTCTAGTAATACACATTTGACGAGTTTATCCATATATTGCTTAGATGAGTATAACAAAAAAATATTATTGTTATTCCATACATTGATTAGACGAGTATAATAATACACATTAGACGAGTTTATCCATATATTGATTACACGAGTCTAATAATATATATTAGGGTTGTTTATTCATATACATATTAGATAAATCCATTAATACATATTAGATGACTCTGTCCATTTTATGATTAGGTGAGTTCTGCAGTAAATATTACACAAGTTTATCTATATACTAATTAGAGGAGTCTAACAATATACATCATATGAAAGTGTCCATATATTGATTAGACAACTCTAACTACACATATTGAACGAATTTGTTAATGCATTAATTAGATGAGTATAACAATTCACATTATATTAATATATTTATACATATTAATTTATATTTTTAGCGAGTCAACTCTATATATTTTTGCATATCCTTTATACTTTTATAAAACTTCTTCTATTTTTTTTTACATGTTTTTTCTTGTATATTTTTACAAAATCTACTATTCATATTTTTATAAATATATTAATTATTAAAATATAAATTATTTTTAATATTGATTCTATTCAAAATTTAATCATAACCTTAAAAATATTTATTATTTTTTTCTTCTCTTTTAATAAATACACGAACCGACATCTCATCCCTTGCGTAAGCATACTTTTAAAACTAGTTCAATAAAAATAATTAACGAGACTTGATCTTGTAACCAAACTAGGTTGGATGTGCTTACACACTAACCTAATCTATATCTTTCCTCAATATGATTATCTATCACTAGTTTAATTTATTTTTTTATGTAACTATGTTTTACGAGTTTTTAATTTTCTTATAAAAATGATCTCAAAACCCTTCATCACATGCCAAATAAATACACTAGTCACTTTGCTGGTCAAATTTATGAAGGGAATACTTTTGACTGGGCAGAGGAGAAAAAGAGAATGCTTAATTATGTAAAGAAAGACCGAGATTTATTTTTTTAAAGTAAAACGAAGAATTAGTTTTGGTAATATTTTTATTAATTGTTAATAATATAAACATAACATGTACCAAAAGGAATAATATTATAATAAGAGGAGAAATTTAACTAATTGATCATTATTTTTCATGGCCCCTTATTGTTTAGTTTCACACGCAATGCATATAAATTAATTCACACTCTCCCCAACTTATAATGTATAAATAATCATTTATGTGGCAAAACGTGACATGCATTTGATAATGACTTTCACATTGAAAAAAGTGATTGCCCAATGGATTTGCTCTATAATCTCATTCATCCCACTAAATATGTAATTTGGTAAAAATGAGGAAATATTACATTGATTATAAAATAATTTTTTTATTAGATTTATAAAAGATATACTTTCAAAGTATAGTTTTAAACTCTAAAAGTATAATAGTAAAATATGTACAGATAGACATAGTCCACAATGAAGACATAACCGGACGACCAACAAAAAAATCATAAGCATAAATGATTAATGTTAAGGATATTAAGGTAAATCACGTTTAAGAGTATTGGACCAGGATTGGGCCGAGATTAAAATATCGTTAGTCCTAAGTTCATGCTCGAAAACTATAAATATAAGTCAAAAGTAACAAGTATGTGGAGGTAATTACTGTGGATTTATTTTTGTCATTGTCGTATCAAATAACCGAACGATTCAATTACTGACTTTGGTATTGGAGTATCTTTAATAGGCGTATTAGATAACCGGTTTAATTACTGACTTTGGCATCGGAATATCTTTAATAGGCATAGGCATCGGAGTATCTTTAATACGCATATCCTAGTCGGACTAACGGACAAGAAATCCAAAAAGTTATTGAAAGAATCCTTTTTATTATTAATAATTGTAGATTAAAGATTTGAAATATTTTATATAAAACAATCCCATCAATATTTCCACGATGAAATAAAAAATAAAGACAATAAAATATTACATTCTATCCACGAGTTGTAATTGTTTATTTGATTAAAGGTTTTATGATTATTGCATTGCATGGGATTCGAAACTTCCAAAGTCAATGAAGTAGTAGCATTCTGACTTGAATGAATTCACCACACCAAACACCAGAAAAAGAGATTACAAGTGAGTGAATGAATCTATTCACCACAAATAGAAAAAAGTTCATGAGAGAAAGAATACTCAATAAACAACAAGATTTCTAAACTTTTTAATGTGTTTTTGTTCGTATTTAGAATGTGGAAGAAATACATATAATAACTTACCAGACGGACATACAATACATAAACGTGGAATAATATAGGTTTAAACTATCTGATGGTTATCGTATTTGTATGAGAATCTCAAGTGGGTCCTCATATTTCCAACTGTCTCAATTGGGTCTATATATTTACAAAATATCTCAATTGGGTCAAAATATTTGTAAAATTGAGCCAATTTTTCCCTAACCGTTAAGTTTTCACAAACTGCATTAAAATGTGCTGAGGTGGATATTTTATTAAAAAAAATATACTCCTAGTGATGACATGGAATTTAATAAATTAAAAAAAATAGAAAAATTATGCAAGCAGAAAAAAAAAGGGGGGGAAAATGGCATGCACTCAGAAAAACCACATAGATCCAATTTGGAAAACCCTTCGAACCCTAAATCGCCACTGCCTCACCGTCATCTCCTTTACAAAAATCTAGCCCCAGAAAGCCGCCGCGAAGACGCTACCATTGTCGAGTCGCCATTGCCTCACCGTCATCTCCTTGGACAAAAACCCACCCTCGAGCAACCTCCGTCGCCACACCGAAACCGAGGTGCCCATAAGACTGACGCATCTGTACACGAGCTCTGAGGAATCCATAGCCACATCGTCGGCCTCAACGCAGCCGTTTCAACTCGCCACGTGCCCCAGTTGCTGCTACTATTCTTCCCCTACCTCGTCAGAAGTCGAACTCGCCGCAACCCAGAAGAAGAAGAAATCACGAGGAAGCTCAAAAGCCCATTACAGAACATAGTCGAGGAAGCGCTTCTCTCTCTAAGAAAACTCACTCGAGTGAGAGAAGAACTTTTAGGTGAACGCTTTGGCTTCATGTATGCAAGTGAACATTAAGTTTGATAGAGCTTAATTTCAATCCTAAGTCTTGGCATGAATCTGCAAGTGAGAAACAATGAAGAAAAGCTACTGCAAGTGAGAAACAAGTACCTGACTCCAGCTACCCGGGGCAACACACAAATCTACAGCACGCTTCACTCCTGCCAAAAATAAAAAATTAATCTCGAAACAGTGTCTCAGCGGAAAAAATATTCAACAAACCCAAAAGGCCAAATAGAGACTTTTATGGAGAAACACAGACATCCCACCTTCAAAAATGTTGAATTCCTCATCTATCTGAAGGAGTTTAAAGGAACTTCGAGCACGCCAACCTTCCTATTTTGCTTTCTGATAATAGATATCCCGAAAACCAATTACGCCAACATCCCTCTTATCCCTTGAAGCTCTTCCCATACTCTATCGTTCACTTGCCCTGCCACAAATTATGCAAAACAAGTCCTTGACACCAACAATTGCCAAAAGAAATTAGAACATGCAACTGAAATAAAAATAAGAAATTTAAAAAGAATAAAATAAAAGTTTCTTTCCATCCTTTTAGCCATTTTTTCAAACACCTGGTGCACATTCAGAAAATCCTCCTTTCACATTTACATTACATAGCTTAAAATCCTCCTTT